GACACTTTGTTTGACTTGTAATGCAACAAATTACAAGACCAACAGTGGTGAATGCAAACCACAAAGTTCCCATTGATGGGTGTGATGTTGAAGTGACACAAAACGGGTGTTCGAAGTGTCAGACTGGCTATTTAACAATCAACTCAAAATGAATGTCAAAAGTGTGATGACAGTTGTAAAACGTGTTCATTGACAAGCAACAGATGCACTTCGTGTGAGTCATATCGTGTTTTGTCTTCAAATTCCAGTTGTGTTGGTCTTTCACAAATAACAAAATGCAATGAAATAACCGATTCAAAATGCTCCAAATGTGCATTTTGGTCTGTTCCAAGCAGTGACGGGATGTCATGCGAATCACAAGTTGTGTGGTGGGTCATATTAATAGCCGTTCTTATTGTGATATTGGTGGTGATATTAGTTGCTGTCATTATAATTATCATCACAAAGAAAGTGTTGGAAATTTCACATACAAAAGATTTAGAAAAGACCACAACACTTTTTAAAATGAAAAAGTCAAATATTAAGTTCGAAGCACTTCAAAATGGGATTTGTGTCACTTCCAATTGTATATACTTCAACTCCGAATCAGGAGAAATTCCAGTTGAACGGGAGAGTCGTGATGTTTTGTGTGTTGGCAACACAAACAAAAATTTGGTCAAAATTCAATTTACCGTTTTATCTAATTCAGATAAATTCGATATCAGAGTTGATCCCGAAATTGTGATTCTTAAAAGTGGGTATGCTTGTGAATTCTCAATATATTTAACACCACATTGCACTTGTAAAATTGATAATACCCTTCAAATAATTTCTAAAGATTTAAAAAATGGCGAAGAAAAATTCAATTTAATTTCTTTGAATGTAACTACAAAACAATCAACTCGAATTGATTACGACGAATTGACAGAAGACAAGAAACTCGGGCAAGGCTCGTTTGGAATTGTGTATAAAGGCACTTTTAGAGGAAATGATGTTGCTATCAAAAAGATGAAAACCATAATTGATGATAATATTTTGGACGAGTTTGCAAAAGAAGTATCTATGTTGGACAAGTTTAGGAGTGAATATATTGTGCACTTTTATGGTGCCGTGTTTATACCAAACAAATTGTGTATGGTCACCGAATTTGCAGCATTTGGAAGTTTACAAGACTTGATCGTAAAAAGACAACCAGAAGAAATTGATATGAAAATGCGTGTTAAAATGCTACTTGACGCAACAAATGGAATTTCTTATTTGCATGAGAATGGGATATTACACAGAGATGTTAAACCAGATAATATTCTTGTTGTTTCACTTGATAAGAACAGCAAGGTGAATGCTAAATTGACTGATTTTGGAAGTGCTAGGAACGTTAATATGATGATGACAAACATGACATTCACAAAGGGTATCGGAACACCAAAGTATATGGCGCCTGAAGTGTTAAAACACCAAAAGTACAAAAACCAGCAGATGTGTTTTCATTTGCTATTACGATGTATGAGGTGTTTGGATGGTGTGAAGCTTATCAACATCATAAATTTAAGTATCCATGGAAAATAGCAGAATTTGTCATAAAAGGAAATCATCTTAAAAGAAATGAACAAATTACCGAAGAACAATACACACTTATTGATAAGTGTTGGCGTTACGATGAGATTAACAGAATTTCGGTTTCTGAAATTGGAGAAAGCCTTGAAAATATGATACAATCATTTTAATATTCATTATAACACAAAAAGCGCAATTAATAATAAATATATATTGATTGATTGGTTTATTACATTGTTGGTATATGTAACGCAATAAATATAATTATTTGTATTGTTACAATATAAACTTAAAAATAAACTTTTATTTTGAACGGTTATTTAAACAGGATAATAAAGTTAAAATTTGTCAAATACGAAATTAGTAATGATGATCATAATTGAAAATAAATAATAACAATACAGTCAATATTCGATATAAGGGTTATTCGATATAAGGATTTATTCGATATAAGGGAGAAAAATAAGAAAAAGCCCTTATATCGAATAATAGAAAAAAAAAATAAAAAAAAGAAATTTATGTGTTTGCTTTTTGTTGGTTATTTCAATTTAAAAGCCCAAAAATGGTAATAATTGGATTAATTTGTCACTAAGTTAAAAAGTCAATTAAAATAATATAAAAACTATGTTTTATTATATTTTTTATTGAACATTTTTAATTAAAATAAACAAAATATTATAATTATAATAAAAATAGATAAACAAGTAAATTTTATTTTGAAATAACACAATGAATGTATTTGCTTTTTTTTCAAAAAGTATACTTTCCTTGACAACATATTATAATCAATTTTTATTCCCGCTTTACGAACTTCATGAAACCATTTGATCATTGTTTTCTCAAGTTCCAGGTTCTGTGGTTTCTTATTCGTTTATACGAGAATGGAAAGTTTATCAATATTTCTTTAGAAATTGAACGCAAATGATAAACTTGCTTTGGAGAAATTACTATTTTCAGTTGTTGTCCGACAACTTTGATTACTTTTTGTGAATTTTGATAAGGATCAATTAATTCAATATTTTTTATTTTGTCTCGTAACATCAATGATGTTCTTGTTTTAACACATTTGGATTGCATTAAAACTTAATGATTTAACAGATTTATTTGAAGTTTTTAAGTCGAAACAAAGTTAAATACAAAAGTTTTATTTGTTATGTTAATTGTGTTAGTATTTTTGTCTTTGTTTTTTGATTTATTATGAAATTAATTATTTATTTAAGATAAAAATAATTGCCAATTGTTTTCAAGATATAGGCAAAGTGTTTATTTTGGTTAGAAAAAAAATAATATTAAAAAAAATATTTTTGTGACAAAAAACAAACCGAGGTATTTTTTTGTTAATTATATAATTCCTCATTTTTTCCCTTATATCGAATAACATTGGTACCCGGTATTCCCTTATATCGAATAATGACTGTATTTATACTCACTAAAATATTTATAATATACTGTATCCATAAACGTATCACAAAACTAAAAAAAATAAAAAAAAACTCAAATAAATTGATAATAAAATACAATTAATTTTTTTTGTAATTTTCTAAAAAAAATAATTTAAATCATAAAATGTAGTTTGTTTTTGTAGTTGATTGTTAAAAACTTGTTTAATTATAATAAACTTATCATTTAAAATGTTATACAAATTATTAACATATTAAATTAAACAAAAAATGTCAACAAATTATGGTTATACCAAATACTTTGAAGCACTTTCATCTAACGTTTCTTCTTCGCAAAATTCTTCATCTTCACATTCAACGTCATCAAAAATTTCTATTGTGTTGTAATCCATTGTTTCGACGTTCTTTTTGTAAACTATTATATTTTCTTTGGTGGTCTTTTTAGAAGGTTTTACGATAAATATATTACATAAATGGTCCAATTCTGATTTAATAATAGGTGTTTTCATGAATTTGTAAACATCTTTGTTGCTTTCTATTATTTCTTTTATCTGAGAATTATCGTAATATGTTGTATCCCAATTTCGTTTGTTTTTTCTACCTCCAAAGACTGTTATTTTGTTAATAAAAGGCGATAAAATAGCAAATTCGGTGTTGTGCACAACACAAAAAATTGTATTTTCGATGTCTTCAAAATCGACATTTCCCGAAATTTCAAGAACTTCTGCGGCAACTATTTTCTTGTTTGTAACATACAAATAAGGTTTACTTGCTAAGAATGTGTTTTGTTCAAAATAGTTATTGTCGGATTTTGGAGCGCAAACGATAGTTTTGTTCTCGGCTTTTTGTGTAGAAAGTATTCGTAATTTACGACAAATAGCACATTTATTTAAATCGACTCGATTTACTTTTCCCTTTAAAGTGACTTCTGTAAAATGTTCAAAATTTTCAAGTTCAATTGGTGCATGTATACTTTCAACCAATAGTCTTCTTGAATACCTCGAGTTAAACGAAACCCAATTGCCACTTCGTGTAAAAACAGTGTTGTAATACTTTTTTGGTAAAATCACTTCACATTTTAAAGTCGAATAACACACAACTTTGATAGACTCAAGCCACTTGAAATTTTGAAAGTCAAATTTATGTGAACCACATGAGATGGAAATGGTTTTGAGACTTTCAAAACAATTGGCAAAGTCAAAAAATATATTTTGGTTTGTTTTCTGTGATAATTCAAAATCCATAAGCTTGGAGTTTGGGCGGAAAAAATATTCTTTTTTATCAGTCTTTTTAAGTATATGTTTCCCTTCACTTTAAGATTTTAAAAT